TTGAGGAGCTTATTATTTCCCTTTGTGTATAAAGGAAGCCCTGGAGCAAATAGGTTTTCTATAGAAACCTGTATGCATATACTTTAGGTGGCGTGACGTGGTAGCTGTGCGTCGTCAGCTAAAGAGACAGATGCGTGGTTTCCCTGCAGCCCCTGGCTGTGTAGATCCGCGGTTCAAACTGAAGGCTCTCATACCCAGTGCCCCTACGAGCCCCTCTCTGGACCTCCTGGCCCAGGGGATGGTCAACCTGGGTAACTCTGGGAACATGGCGGTTTCCTGCACAAGGTCTGTTATTGGAGATTTCTATTTTTTATTTTTTATTTTATTTTGCTTTGCTTTAATTTATTATTATTTTTTTTTAATGCATCTTAATGATTGTTCCTGGCAATTAATTTTAATAATATAGATTGCTGAAAATGAGACAGGAAGCAGTTCATCAAATGAAAGTGTCCTACTACTACAATCTCTTACTGAGGTAAGTACAGTGGGGATACAGTGTGGCCTAGATGTGCAGAATGCAGATAATTTTTATCACCATGATTGTCTGAATGGTTAATTATCCTCCTTTGGCAGTGAGCGTGTATGGATGCCTCTTGACATGCCCACTCTTGTGGCAGAAAGCACCCCTAATGCACCTGACAGAATCTTCTGGAAAGCCACGCTTCTGTTGCCAAGCAGCTGTGACAGTGACATAAGCTATGCCAGCAGGTAAGGAACGAAATTGTGGAAAATTTTCTTGTAACATGTTAAATTACAACTGACCTCTTTTGTTTTTATGTTTGTTTCCATGCAGGATTCTGACAGACTGGCTTGAGGTTAAATTGGGTGGAGAAAACCAATCCGAAGAGAGTGAGAAAGAACTCAAAGGGCAACTGAAAACACTGTGCATTAGTCACAGCTTGACAAATATTAGGGGACAGACTCATGAAGTTCACATTGCTATAAAAGTAAGCTTCAGAAGGAATAGTTTTCCCCAAAAATTACAATTCTGTCATTATTTACCCAGTTAAAGTGAGGTATTGAGGAGAAAATGGACAGCAGGGGAAAAATTCCAACTCATGAAATGAAGCTCATTAATATCCAGTTATCCAAATGTCTCTACATTGACATGATTAACCCCTGTGTTTGTGTGCAGGCATGTCATGGCCCTCTGAGTGCAGAAGACCAGTGTTTGCTGGAGGAACACGAGCTCCATGGCACCAATGCTCTTCTGATGCTACTTCCCCCTCTTAACAGTGCTGGACAGGGTGAAGAGGATGAGGATGTGTCCCTGCTCTCTGCTCTCCTTCAGCTGAGGCAGGTGCAGCAGGCCAGCTGCTGGCACTCTCCTGTACCACTGGTTGTGGTTGTTATTGGCAACCAAGAGGGCGGTACCAATGATCATGGTTTGGAAGAAGGCGAGTTTTGAAGGAAAGACTTAATATAGTAGACAAGACTGTTAAAGACTGCAATCTGATTATTTTATTGTCTCTCTCTTTCACAGCACTCATGTTGAATATGTTAGTCAACGATGGTCTCATCTCTGAATACATCTTCGTCCACATACCAGCAACCCTCACTGACCTGCAAGGCTCAGAGCAGGTTGGTCTGCAAAGAAATATTGAGAATACACAGTTGTTTTTAATATAGTTAAAAATATTTGTGTTAGGGATGCGTGATATGTGTAGTTGTATCGGTATTCGCTTATAAATATGAACTTTTTTAATGCTATAGTTATTGGCTCAATAGGTGAAATAGGGCGATATAATTAAGGTGATAAATTGTAGCCAAATAATCATTGGGGCCCCACATTTCAAGTTACCATTTTTTTTTACACAAATTAATTAAATTTTTTTTTTTTTTTTTTACATTTCCATTTACTTTTTTAAGAGCATCTAAAATTAAAAGTAGTTTCCACTGTTGCACATAATGTTTGATGAAAGCATGGATAGATCTAGATGCTTATAATTTTTTTTCTTATCAGGGAAAATTAGGATTGATGTCTTGAATGGTTATTGAAAATGTAACATGTACTAAAACATTCTCTTTACATAATTGATCCGCTTCAGATGAGTCATGTCATCAGGTGGCTTGCCGCCCGTTCTCCCGCTGGCCCAGCCCTTTACTCTCAGACCCTGCTGCAGGTTGTTGAGTTAGGCCTGTGCCGTGAGTTCTACTCCAGACTACACCGAGACAAGCAGGACAGGAAACATGCAGGTCTTCCATCTCAGCACCCGGAGCCTATCGTGCAGCTCTGTAACAGTGTGCTGAGTTTCCTAGCAGGTGTGGTTTCGTCAGAGCATCTGTCCAGTCTCTGCTGGCCACCTCCTGAATTCTCTCTCCCCGAGAACAGAGAGCTGATTCCTCATCAGGCTTGGAACCCTCCAGAACACCTGGAGTGGCTGAAGAGAACCATCCTCAGCCGGCAACTTCCTGAATGGGATCTGCCTCCAATTAGTGGTAGGTTCCAATCCTTGAATTTGTAGATTTTAGTAGCTTTATCTTAATTAAAAGAAATCAAAACTAATCTCTTTTCTTATTTCTCAGCCTCATGGCCACATTTGTGTGCCTCGATATTCCAATACGTATCCCAGATCCCTACATCACCCTTAAGCCAACCTATTCTAATGTCCCGTCTGGAGAACCTGCTAAGAAGAGTGAACTACCAATACTTTCACGTGAGTGATGCAGATTGGGAGGACTATGAGACGAATGGACCATCCTTTCACGAAATTCCTTGGGACGACATCATAAGCCTGTGCGTAGAGCATCGTATGAAGGACTGGAGTTTGGAGACTCTGGTGTCAAAAGGTGAGAATAACAGATTGGTAACATAATGCCAATTATGAGCTTTGAACATGTTCCAGTGTTAAATGTATGTTTTAACTCTTTAAATCACAGATGCCCTCACGGATGATGGCGAGATTCTTGTATATTTTAACAAAGACAGCCTGAAGTGTTTCCAGCCCCCTGATAGCTGGATAGAGGCTGTGAAACAGACATATCAGGAAAAACAGCTGGCCTTAGAAGTGTAACTATCACTGTTTTACATATGTATTATTCACAGTATATAGCATAACAGCCTTGCATCAAAAAATGTAAACAAAATGTAAATGTTTTCTGATAGGTCAAAAGTCAGGCCCCCAACCACGGCCAGACATTTCCCCAAACAGAAGCTGTTTCAGAGTCACATAAACACAGAGGAATGGCCTTCTGTGCGTGATGCTGCACAAATTCCCATATCGCAGCACTTTGAACGTATTCTCTCTTCCATTCGTGATATGAACGCTGAGGGCCAGAGGTTAGCATTAACAATTTTAATATTAGAGTTAACTGTGTTGGCTTTTTTTTTTTTTCTTGGATGTTTGTAGTAACCATTTCTTAACATGTGTCTGTAGGATTGGAGAGCAGGTACAGCGTCGGATTGAAGCGGATCCGTTACGCACTTCATCGTTTCCTCTTACCCTGACCTCCACCGCCCTCTCTATGCCCGTGACCATGACCCCCTCCCGAAAGCGCCCTGCTGCTGGCACTGTCCACATACAGGTAGAGTTATACCAGAGACACCATCACAACTGGATTAATATACCTGCATTACTATAATTGCATTAAGTCTCTATTTTTGTGCTCTTTAAAGGAAACCGAAACAGCTGACCTGGTTGAGAAAATATCATCTCCTTGCAAAATAAACAGACTCTTTGATGCAGACAGCACACAGAGTCCCATAATGGAGCGACTTCAGCGTACTCTCTTAACTGTTCAGGAGATGAATGCTGAGGGCCAGAGGTTAGGTTTAAACTTTTTTTAATGCACTAAACTGAGAAGATATAATAATGCATTATGGGATTGTCTATTTTCATTTTTTTTTTCTTTCATATGTGTATCTAGAATCGGAGAGCAGATTCAGCGTAGGATTGAAGCGGATCATTTGTCCTCTGCCTCTTTTCCGCTCTTCCTCCCCTCCACCCTCCTCTCTGCACCTCCCCTAGTTAGGACTTCCTCTTCCAAGCGCCCTGCTGCTACCTTCCACATACAAGTACAGTATTCTAGCATAACTAAGGATAGTATGAAGTTAAAAAGCAGCTTTCATTATAAATGCCTTAAACCTGCATTTGTTTTTCATTTGAAGGAAGTGGAAATGAAAGATTCTGTTGAGAAGACTGCTGCATCTTGTGAAAAAAACAGACCGGTTTCTTTGTTCCAGCGTTTGCAGGACTTGAAAAGAGAGTTGTCAAGTCAGAAGGAGGAGGAACGTGTGTGTGACCTCAAGCTGAAGTGTCTTTTAGACATTGTAGAGAACTGAAGATGTTTGAATATAACAGCAGCTGCTGAATGCCACTTCTAGTCTCCCAGTTTGAAAGAAAATGTCTTTTGTCTGCTGCTTATTGGTCTCAGCAGTTTTATTTTTGCTGTTTTAAATTTTATATTTTTTGATAAAATGCTTAAGTCATGTGCCTCATTCATTAGGTTTAATTAAATCTTAGTGTGTGTATCTCCTTGTACTTTAACAGTAATTTAGAATTTGTTCATTTGTTCTCATACATACTTTCCCGCTTTCTGAATAATAGTTGAGTGTATTTTGTTCACCCCAATAATTCTGTTGTATTTAAATGTATATCTTTGGACAACCATAAAGATTGTTTTTATCAAACTACTGATTTTGTGTATTTTTTCCGCCTAGTATACTGAGAAACACAAATATTTTAAAGATGTTTTTGCTCATATTGCTACAGGCCAACCTTTGAATTACGAATTAACATGAGGTGATTAATTTATTCATGACACTCTAAACGTGGTTTGTGTGAACTGGAAAGACACGCCCATTTTGCTATGTTTCTAACGTGATTGGAGGGCCTGTCCTCTGGTCATGTCTCCATGCGATATCGCGCTCGGAAGGCAGTGCTAAGCATTATGGGAAACGTAGTTTAAGAATGAAGCCCCTTTCCATGTTTATACCGTTTTGAGAACGATTTAAGAGGAATAAAGAACTACATTTCCCATGCTGATTTTAAGGAGGCGTTTACCGTCTCGATCAGCTGAAATATGGCATGTTCTTTTCAGTTTACAAGTTTTACTCGTGCTCTTTAAAGATGACAGAGGGAACGTGAGTACAATTGTTTAATATTTCTGAATGCTTATGTTTTAAAACCACGCAGATATGAAATGAATATATTTTCCCATAAGACACGTTAAACAGAAACTAATATATTAATTATGACGTTTTAGGTTTTAATTAACAGTATATTATTATTGTTGTTATTATTATTATTATTATTAAGGTATCAATGCCCTATAATGCAGACTATATGCATATCTGTAGATGCTATCTTTATAATAACATAATATGATTTATATGACTATATATTTATATACTACAAGGTGTTTATTTGTTTATTTTTTGAGAAAGAAATTCTAAATAGATGCACATCAGTTTTTTAAACATGTAAGGTTTGTTAAATGCTTGAAAAGTGTTACTGTACTACTGTTATTATGCCCATCCAAGTGTAACATTTAAAGATTTGATTCAGGTGTTTGCGGAGAAGGGGAGGCCCCTATAAGACCGAACCAGTGACAGAGCTCAGCTGCTGGAGGTTGAGTAATGTGGAGGGCAGACAGACCTGGAGGTACACTGAGGAGGCAGACAGCATGGACAGACAGCAGAGCATGCTGGAATCTCACTCTCTGGGACTGGACACGGTAAACATAAACATTACAGACAAGTACACTGCAACTTTTATATTCATTTTCATATCTAATCTGTTCTTCTTGACCTCAGGGTGAGTTCATCTCAGCATCCCCTTCCGCACACACTGCAGTAGAAGCTGCACTGAAGGGAATGGACTTCTACAGCCGTCTCCAGGCTGAAGATGGACACTGGGCTGGGGATTATGGTGGACCACTTTTCTTACTTCCAGGTCATTCATTTATAATAAGCCATTTGGACAGACTTTCTTTGTTTAGTCATTAGATGAAAGTAAATATTCTGATAATATATAAATTATGTATAATATAAATAAATAGAATCAGTCGAGCATTATATGAAAAATAAATGTTTTGTGCTTTTAACTCATGCATTATTAAGGTTAGAATTTGCCACTAATGAAGTAAATAATAATGGTACTGAGAAACCTAGAATTTGTAAAGGTAAACTGTCTTTTTGTCTATTTGTTGATGGTTTTCAGGTCTGCTCATAACCTGTCATATTGCTGAGATCCCTCTGCCAGATGCATGGAAGCAGGAAATGGTTAGATACCTTTGCTCTGTGCAGCTGCCTGACGGAGGCTGGGGCCTGTGAGTATTAATAACATTGTCTTTTATTATATGGGGTGAATCTCATGATACCTGCAAGGAGCATCCAGATTATATTTCACTCACAAATCAAAAGAAATCAATAAGAAATTATCTCATTATTATAATGTAAAAAAGAGAGAAGGAAATCAATCTTATTACTGTAATGCAAGAATAAAACTATTGAAATGCTACTACATTTATACATAATGGTAGTGTTTTATTTGTCCTTTATGCTGATTTTTTTCTCCATTGTCTTGCCTCCTAATCTAGTTATCTAATAAACCTGGCTTTGTGTACTACGAATATTGTTGGCTATTTTACAAATTACTTTATTCCTCTTTTGTGAGTCGCTTTGGATAAAAGCATCTGCTAAATGCATAAATGTAAATTAATCTGAAGAAGATATTTTGAAGAATGCCGGTAACCAAACCGTTTTAGTTTCCATGACTTGCATTGTATGGACAAAAAATACAATGAGAGTCAATGGGAACAGAAACCGTTTGCTTACCAACATTCTTCAAAATATCTTTAAAAAAAATCATACAGGTTTGGATTGACATGAAGATATGTAAACGATGACAGAATTTTCCTTTTTGGGTCCACTATTCCTTTAATGTTTAACTTCACTGGGATAATAATGGAATTATTACTTTATGACCTGATGAACAGCACAAATATTTATTTTCCAGGCACGTTGAAGATAAGTCTACTGTTTTCGGAACAGCTTTGAATTACACCACCCTGAGAATTCTGGGAGTTGGGCCTGATGATCCAGATATGGTTCGCGCAAGGAATATTTTACACAGCAAAGGTCTGTGATTGCTGATATACAAACAGTCACATGTATGTTCATATGTAACGTAACCCAATAAATGAAATAATGTGGTGTTCAGTTTCAGTACTGTCCTGCTCTGTTACAGGTGGTGCTGTCGGTATACCCTCCTGGGGTAAATTCTGGTTGGCCATCCTCAACGTATACAGCTGGGAAGGGATGAATACGCTCTTTCCAGAGATGTGGTATCCCAAGACTTCATTAGTTTACAGATAAAGTGTCGTTTTTGTTTTGAACATTTATATAGTTGGATTTCCTTTCGCAATTTTTTTTCCATCAGGCTGTTCCCTTCCTGGGTGCCGGCACATCCCTCCACTTTATGGTGCCACTGTCGGCAGGTCTACCTGCCCATGAGCTACTGCTATGCGGTCAGGCTGTCTGCCGATGAAGATCCACTGATACTCAGTTTAAGACAGGTAAAGTTTCTCAGTGCTACCACTAGAGGCCACTCTGAGACCATATTAAAATCAGGCTTGTTTGCCTGAACTCTACTATCCAGTCACAGTTGTTTGTTTTTTGGGTGTTAAACAGGAGCTCTATGTCCAGGAATACTCGACTATTGACTGGCCAGCTCAGAGGAACAACGTTGCAGCTTGTGACTTGTACACACCACACAGCACCTTGCTTACTATCGCTTATTGTGAGAGAAGTGTAACATCTCTGTAAAAAATGATCTTTTACCCTTTACATTTCACATAACAAGTCACATAACGCTATCAAACTTGATCTTACAGTGATCCTGAATGTGTATGAAGCTCATCACAGCACTATGCTGAGAGAAAAAGCAGTGAAGGAGCTTTATGACCATATTAAAGCAGACGATCGCTTCACTAAGTGTATCAGCATTGGCCCGGTGAGAGAAAAGAGAATACATTTTATTTTATATAATGTAATATTGACTCTATTAATCCACATCCCTGGTTTTATTGTGTGCAGTTTCTCTGTACATGTTTTATCAGAACTATTCCTTAATAATTATTCAGTCTTAGATATTACACTGTGTACAAAAATAATTTCCTGTTTTGTCAGATTTCGAAAACGATCAATATGTTGGTACGCTGGCATGTGGATGGACCCACATCACCTGCCTTTCAGGAGCATGTGTCAAGGATTCCTGACTATCTATGGTTTGTGGTCTGATTTGAGTAATTTCCTGCTTATATTGTATTATAATAACAATAATAATAATTGGTTTCTGTCTTTCTTTTTGCCATTTTTATTTTTTCAATGCTCCAGGCTGGGTTTGGATGGTATGAAAATGCAGGTGAGATGTTGTCATTATGAAGAACATTTTGGGGTTCTGAAGTTTGTTTTATCTGATCAGTTAAATGTTGTTATTATTAACAATATTAATAACAATTCTCACTCATATTATTATTTATTTTCCATCAGGGTACAAACGGATCACAGCTATGGGACACTGCATTTGCAGTACAAGCATTTCTTGAGGTATATATCTTTATTAATAAAACCAAAACTGGTGCATAACCGATGATTGATCAGTTGGCCTTGTTTTCTGAACAGGCAGGTGCCCAGGACATCCCCAGGTTTACAGAGTGCCTCACACAAGCCCATCATTTCTTTGATCTGACCCAGGTGAGGATGATTAAATCCATTTTTTAAAAACATAATGTTCTTTATTATTACAACCTGTTTATGTATTTAGCTTTAACTTAACTATGTTGGTATTGACAATGTTAAATTTGCTTATGTGCTAATCCAAATACAGTGGAGTCCAAAAGTGAGACCACATTGAAATAATTTTTTCTTTTAATTATATAGAGGGTCTTTACTCCCCATCTTTAATCTCAGTCCCTCAAAAATTATATTTTTCTCTATGTTTACTAAAACAGAGTGTTCAAATGTACGTTAATTATATTCAGTATTTATTCATAGGCTGATATAATATATTGTCACTTCTCTAATGTTCATGCATGGCTCATCTTTCCAATGAAATTACACAGTGAAATGCATCCAAACTCACAAGCTGTGTCAGAATAAACACACTAATCATATACACTAATACTATACTAATATATTAATATTAGTACTAATATACTAGTATATACACTATACTAATCAAAAGTTTGGGGGTGGTAGGATTTTTTAATGGTTTTGAAAAATGACTCTTATGGTCACCAAAGCTGTATTTATTTGATAAAAAATACAGTAGAAACAATAATATTGTGAAATATTATTCCGATTTTAAATAGCTTTTTTCTATGATAATATTTTTTCAGTTGTAATTTATTCTGTGATGGCAAAGCTGAATTTTTAGCAGCCATTATGCCAGCTTTCAGTGTCACATGATCCTTCAGAAATCATTCTAATATGCTGATTTGGTGCTCAAGAAACATTTCTTATTACAATGTTGAAAACAGTTGTGCTGCTTAATATTTTTGTAGAAACTGTGATACATTTTTTCATGATTCTTTCATTATTAATAAAAAGTTGTAATAGAAAAAACAGCATTTATTTGAAATAGAAATCTTAATGTGTCCTTGCTGAATAAAAGTATTAATTTCTTTTTTTAAAATGTGATTTTGTTTCAGCTGCTAAGCATGAGAAATCCTGATGGAGGGTTTGCCACGTATGAGACCAAACGTGGTGGAAAACTGCTGGAGCTGTTGAACCCATCTGAAGTGTTTGGTGCGCATGCAGTAATATGTCATATTCGGTTGACAGTGCATTTTTCATCGGTCTTGACATGTCTGATTCTACCTCTTTCTCTCCCAGGTGATATAATGATCGACTACACGTATGTTGAGTGTACCTCAGCTGTAATGCAGGCACTGAAACACTTTCACAGCGTATATCCTGAGCACAGAGCAGAAGAGATTAGGTACAGCCAAATAAAATATTTCAGCATATTGTGGTTTGAAAAATGGTTTGGTTAAACCACGTCTCTTGATCACATAGGACAACTCTTCAGCAAGGGCTGGACTACTGCAGGAGGGTTCAAAGATCTGATGGCTCATGGGAAGGGTAGGCGTTGGTTCATTTATAATCAGAGACATTATTGTGTTGCTTCTTAGACTGTTTATGAAGGATTCTGCTTGTCTTAGGTCCTGGGGAGTCTGTTTCACATATGGAGTCTGGTTTGGTCTGGAGGCATTTGCATGTATGGGCCACACTTTCCAAAATGGGCATGTTATTTGTTTTTCTTCTCATATTGATGTTCATTTAATAAATCATCAGCTCATATTCTTTTACTGCACTTTATTTAACCCCTTAATTCATTTGGTTTCTGTGTTGCAGGTCTGTTTGTGTGGAGGTGAAACGTGCCTGTGAGTTCCTGCTGTCGAAGCAGATGGAGGATGGAGGCTGGGGCGAGGACTTTGAGTCCTGTGAGCAGCGGCACTACGTTCAGAGCAAGAACTCACAGATCCACAACACCTGCTGGGCTTTGCTGGGGTTGATGGCTGTCAGGTAACCGCAGCAGTAGTTTTTAGATACCTCTACAGAACTGCCCTCCTGTTCAAAAACTGGGTACAGCTTTTGTGTTGGGGGGGGGGCAAACTGACCCACATTGTTTTCTGTTCAGTTTGCCAAAAATCAACATTATGAAAAATACTAAAGATTCTTGCAAAAACAGAAAACCTCTATTGTAGCTTGTCAGTGACTAAAAAAATACAAAATATGTGAGGTAGTTAAATAATTTCCATTATTTTTATTGTATTAGGGGTCAATTTAACCAATATATTTTTTTGTGTTCAAAATGAGCTGCACAGACACCATAACTACAAATACAAGTAACTGCAAGAAAGTATAAATAGTATCTAACATTATTTGTACTTAGTGTAAGTAATATCTATTGCTATTTGTACTTCCTCTGCCTTTTTATGTCTTTTTCTTAAACCCTTGTGAGGGTAAAAAATGACTTTCTCATGCTTCTGTTCAGCAACAGTCTAGTAATTGAGATCCAAAGATTTTTTCAACTAGATATTAAAGTGATTTTTTTTGGATGATTTAGAAAATGATTCTCAAATTTGAGTAAATATGACATTTTCATGTATTTCATATTTCAGTGTTTGGCAACCTACAATAACTTTTTTTCCTGACTCTTTAGTGTTTTTCAAAGTGTTGATTTATGGCAAATTGCATGGAAAACAATGAGGTTCAGTGGGGTTAATTTACTTTAAAAATTTCATTTTTAGGTACCCTGACATCAGAGTGATCGAGCGAGGCATTCAAGGTCTGATTGATAGGCAGCTGCCCAATGGAGACTGGCCACAGGTGAGCAAAGCTGTTGCTAGATCTCAAATTCATCTGAGGTCTCTCTCTAATAAAATGTGCTGGGTTGTTTCCTTGTTTTCAGGAGAACATTTCTGGAGTGTTCAATAAAAGCTGTGCCATCAGCTACACCTCTTACAGGAATGTGTTTCCTGTGTGGACGCTGGGCCGTTTCTCACAGCTCTACCCCTGCAGCCCTCTGGCTGGGAAACTCAAACTCTGAGTCAGATACTGTGTACTTGTGCCTCAAATAAGCAGTATCTGATCAAAGATCATTCTTATTTGAAACAAACCTGTTTGCTGCTCTTTAGAAAGTAGGACTGATTTATCAAAGTCTTTAGAATATTATCTACAGAATATTTAGTTCATTTTTGTGCTCTTTTAACCATGAGACCAAGGCGTTGTATCCTGTAGATGATTATGTAATTAAAAGCGATTTTCTGTACTCTTATAATAAATCATTTTATATTTTGGATCTGTTTTGTGTCTGATTTATGTTTTATAATCCCCCTTTTGTTTGCACTGACTGAAATCAATTCAGTATAGAAACTGCATACTGCTCAGTAGTTTAGAATGCTCTATGTAAAAGGTATGTACAAATTATTATTGCTATTATTATTAATAATAATAAAGTCAAGTCAAGTCACCTTTATTTATATAGCGCTTTTAACAATACAGATTGTGTCAAAGCAACTGAACAGCATTAATTAGGAAAATAGTGTCAATAATGCAAAAGGACAATAGTAAACACTAATTTTTCAGTTAAAGGCAGTTCATCATTGAATTCAGTGATGTCTTCATTCAGCTCAGTTCAGTTTAAATAGTATCTGTGCAATCAAGGTGACGATATCGCTGGAAATGAAGTGTCCCCAACTAAGCAAGCCAGAGGCGACAGCGGCAAGGAACCAAAACTCCATCGGTGACAGAATGGAGAAAAAACCTTGGGAGAAACCCTTAAGAGTTTGTGAACATTTGTGAACAATATCAAATATATAATTCCTGTGAATACATCAGTCTAAAGGAATAGTTCAAATTTGAGTAAATATGACATTTTCATGTATTTCATATTTCAGTGTTTGGCAACCTACAATAACTTTTTTTCCTGACACTTTAGTGTTTTTCAAAGTGTTGATTTATGGCAAATTGCATGGAAAACAATGAGGTTCAGTGGGGTTAATTTACTTAAAAAATGTCATTTTTAGGTACCCTGACATCAGAGTGATCGAGCGAGGCATTCAAGGTCTGATTGATAGGCAGCTGCCCAATGGAGACTGGCCACAGGTGAGCAAAGCTATTGCTAGATCTCAAATTCATCTGAGGTCTCTCTCTAATAAAATGTGCTGGGTTGTTTCCTTGTTTTCAGGAGAACATTTCTGGAGTGTTCAATAAAAGCTGTGCCATCAGCTACACCTCTTACAGGAATGTGTTTCCTGTGTGGACGCTGGGCCGTTTCTCACAGCTCTACCCCTGCAGCCCTCTGGCTGGGAAACTCAAACTCTGAGTCAGATACTGTGTACTTGTGCCTCAAATAAGCAGTATCTGATCAAAGATCATTCTTATTTGAAACAAACCTGTTTGCTGCTCTTTAGAAAGTAGGACTGATTTATCAAAGTCTTTAGAATATTATCTACAGAATATTTAGTTCATTTTTGTGCTCTTTTAACCATGAGACCAAGGCGTTGTATCCTGTAGATGATTATGTAATTAAAAGCGATTTTCTGTACTCTTATAATAAATCATTTTATATTTTGGATCTGTTTTGTGTCTGATTTATGTTTTATAATCCCCCTTTTGTTTGCACTGACTGAAATTGTGTTGGGGGAGTGGGGGTGGGGCAAACTGACCCACATTGTTTTCTATTCAGTTTGCCAAAAATCAACATTATGAAAAATACTAAAGATTCTTGCAAAAACAGAAAACCTCTATTGTAGCTTGTCAGTGACTAAAAAATACAAAATATGTGAGGTAGTTAAATAATTTCCATTATTTTTATTGTATTAGGGGTCAATTTAACCAATATATTTTTTTGTGTTCAAAATGAGCTGCACAGACACCATAACTACAAATACAAGTAACTGCAAGAAAGTATAAATAGTATCTAACATTATTTGTACTTAGTGTAAGTAATATCTATTGCTATTTGTACTTCCTCTGCCTTTTTATGTCTTTTTCTTAAACCCTTGTGAGGGTAAAAAATGACTTTCTCATGCTTCTGTTCAGCAACAGTCTAGTAATTGAGATCCAAAGATTTTTTCAACTAGATATTAAAGTGATTTTTTTTGGATGATTTAGAAAATGATTCTCAAATTTGAGTAAATATGACATTTTCATGTATTTCATATTTCAGTGTTTGGCAACCTACAATAACTTTTTTTCCTGACACTTTAGTGTTTTTCAAAGTGTTGATTTATGGCAAATTGCATGGAAAACAATGAGGTTCAGTGGGGTTAATTTACTTAAAAAATGTCATTTTTAGGTACCCTGACATCAGAGTGATCGAGCGAGGCATTCAAGGTCTGATTGATAGGCAGCTGCCCAATGGAGACTGGCCACAGGTGAGCAAAGCTGTTGCTAGATCTCAAATTCATCTGAGGTCTATTTACTTTAAAAATTTCATTTTTAGGTACCCTGACATCAGAGTGATCGAGCGAGGCATTCAAGGTCTGATTGATAGGCAGCTGCCCAATGGAGACTGGCCACAGGTGAGCAAAGCTGTTGCTAGATCTCAAATTCATCTGAGGTCTCTCTCTAATAAAATGTGCTGGGTTGTTTCCTTGTTTTCAGGAGAACATTTCTGGAGTGTTCAATAAAAGCTGTGCCATCAGCTACACCTCTTACAGGAATGTGTTTCCTGTGTGGACGCTGGGCCGTTTCTCACAGCTCTACCCCTGCAGCCCTCTGGCTGGGAAACTCAAACTCTGAGTCAGATACTGTGTACTTGTGCCTCAAATAAGCAGTATCTGATCAAAGATCATTCTTATTTGAAACAAACCTGTTTGCTGCTCTTTAGAAAGTAGGACTGATTTATCAAAGTCTTTAGAATATTATCTACAGAATATTTAGTTCATTTTTGTGCTCTTTTAACCATGAGACCAAGGCGTTGTATCCTGTAGATGATTATGTAATTAAAAGCGATTTTCTGTACTCTTATAATAAATCATTTTATATTTTGGATCTGTTTTGTGTCTGATTTATGTTTTATAATCCCCCTTTTGTTTGCACTGACTGAAATCAATTCAGTATAGAAACTGCATACTGCTCAGTAGTTTAGAATGCTCTATGTAAAAGGTATGTACAAATTATTATTGCTATTATTATTAATAATAATAAAGTCAAGTCAAGTCACCTTTATTTATATAGCGCTTTTAACAATACAGATTGTGTCAAAGCAACTGAACAGCATTAATTAGGAAAATAGTGTCAATAATGCAAAAGGACAATAGTAAACACTAATTTTTCAGTTAAAGGCAGTTCATCATTGAATTCAGTGATGCCTCAATGTAGCCAAAGACTACATTGACAAATATTTCGTAATGTGTTCTGGCTCACATAATACTTTTTTAATGGTATGCAGTATACATTGTGCAGTATTAGATAAGTATTTTCATTCTGAGCCCGACTACAGCCCTGCTGAGCTAAGTATTTAGTACATAGTAAGCTCAGCAAACATCGCAGTATCTACAGCTATTATTATTATTATTAGTAGTAGTAGTATTACATTTATATTGGGTACACGCTTTTATTTTGAAACGCTGAAGCATTGTTTCCGTGTTTACGCTGCTCTGGGTTTATGGGTGAAGCCGGTTTAATGAACAGCTGATTTGAATTCTTCACGGAACATCTTTCAATTTTATGCGATATTGAAGTGCTTTTTGCAGCGTGACAGGACGGAGATATGAATGTTAAAGTCACGGAGTGAATGATGGCGTCAGGATGGCGGCAGCCTCGATCAGTTAGAGCTGCTTTACTCTTTAACACCATCATCATCATCATCTTCATCAGCACCGGCGCACAGACGCACACCTGTGACCATAAAGTGCCCCTGCCCACAGAGGTCAGTCCCTCTTATTTGTTATTCTTTCTTCTGGTTCTCAAATACGACATTTAAGATTGTGCCTTCTTAACAACATATGAGATTGTGCCTTCTTTATATCATGCCATGTTGTGCTTTATATCCTAAAAATGAATAATAACTGAGGCTGACAATCTGCTAACGTCTCCTTTATGTTCCACAGAAGAAAGAAAGTGACTTTAAGGTGAATAAATGAAGGCAGAATTTTCCATTTTGGTAAAACTATCGCTTTAAAAGGCATTTATCTGGACGATGTTGCATTAAAGGGACAGTTAACCATAAAATGAAAAATATCTCATCATTTGCTCGCCTTAAAATCTGTATAACGTTCTTCTGTAGTACATAATGAAATTATATATAGCAGTCCAAGCTTTTTTTTCTGTTCAATGAAGATCATCCTTCACTGCTCAAATAATCTATGAAATATTGTTTTAGAATATGATTTTACCAGGACTTATAATAATGTCTGCTGTTTGCCATTCTAGGTCCTACATAAAGTGTTTTTGAAGCCAGATAGATTGACCAAAAGAAGCACTGACCAGCAGTTAAAGATCCAAATAGAGTACGACTCCAGCTTGGATGGGTTAGTTATACGTTTGTATTTTATTAAATACAGTAATGCCACATTGTCATTGTCATACATTGACTTAATATCTTTACTGCTCACACAGGTTAGATGAAGCCAAAAGCAGCCTTGTGAAGGTATTTTGATTTCTGTGGTCAAGGTTTTATCAATATGTAAAGCTAAATGTTATTTGTTAAATCTTGTAAATGGCCTTTCACCTCTAAATATGATTAATCTTTTCAATTCTGCTTTGTTTCAAGGACAAGCTTCTCCCACAGGCGATTGATTATCTTCAGAAGGCCTTCAGGGTTCGTAGGCTGTCAGGTCCAATATTACTGAGCAGGTAATTCTCTTCTCAGCTAGTATTGTCTGACAGCAAATCCTCTTAAAATTGCACTCAGCCATGTCCTTCTGGAAGCTTGGTGGATATTTAATCTCATTAGTTTCTTTTTTGTAATCCCAATATTTTTTTTCTTAATGATTAGACAATGCGCAACCAATCAGTACCTTAGGAAAAGAGATGATCCACATCGCTACTGTCAGGGACCGTGTGCAGACATCACCAAGTGTGGCCCAGTTGTTGTCCCTGAACAACATTTGCAGGTATTTTTGGCCCCCTCAAATTTTTGGGCCAAAAATATTTCCTTCCTTATTTTGTTTATTCCTTTTTATTGCAATATATTTGCTGCATATAAACCATACAGATTATTCAAAAAAAAAAAAAAACCTCAAGACATAGTGATTTTGTTCACCATTTTTTCATTTTGGTAGCTTAATATGAGCAATATTCCACATATCTATTTCATACCGGTGTGAATTACTCAACCAAGCCTATTTATTTCACCCTTTGGTGCTTTTTGATTTGATTTTTGGTGAATTTTGGATTCACTTGATTTGACCCTAAATTACATATAATGAGCACTGTATGAGAATTAAGGTGTCTGTTGATGTCTATTGATGTTTATGTTTATATATTCAATTCGGTGTTTGAAATATTGTTTTAACAATTATCTGCGTAAATATACAGAAGCACCATTCCTACTTAAAGATCCGTTTTATGGATAAAATGAATTCTAATATTTCTAATACTGACAAATACCAATATATTGCAGGTAAATATATGAGAATTTTTGATTCATAGAATGAGGTCTCCTTTAGCAATGCAGGGTTTGCAGTGAGTCTGGCAAGTCCTGCGGCCCCGCTGGCTCTCCTGATGGTGAGGGGGTGGTGAGGGCTGGTTTTGTGTTGTACGTGAGTGCGATGACCACAGAGCGTTGTGGACAAGAAAACATCGTAGCCTATGCAGCGTACTGCCAGCTGGAGTCTGAACTGGACAGGTAATTGAAATGGGAATGTAGGTGATTTTAATTCGCTTTAGAGTATACTGTGGAAATAGTCCAGTGTGTTGCTGACAGTAACGGCAGAATTTCTTAATGTAGGCCCATCGCTGGATATGCCAATCTGTGTCCCAATATGATCTCTACTCAACCTCAGGAGTTTGAAGGGATGCTGTCCACAGTCAAACACGAGATCATACATGCCCTGGTAACAACATTAAACTCCGCACATCCTCATGTGGAGAGCTTGATAGTTTATCATTATTGTTCAATTATATGTTCTATATGTTTTAAGGGTTTTTCTGCAGGACTCTTTGCGTTTTACCATGATGATGATGGGAAACCTTTGACACCACGTTCTGCAAGTGGTCTACCTGCATACAATGAAAGGTGATGGTTATATTTGTATTTTTATTTGTTTTTGAAATACAATTTAAAAATATTTAAATAATATTAAAATCTGTTATTGTAACATTGTGATAATTATATTGCATGAGTAATACAGGTTAAAATTGTTATTTTAGTTGCGTGCATGACCCCCTGATATATGTATATAATGGACCTTTATTGTTAAACTATATATATAGCACTATGTTTATTTCTTTTTATATCTCTCTCTCTCTCTCTCTCTCAGTTTAGGGTTATATCAATGGAGTGATAAAGTCATCAAAAGAGCAACTCGGCTGTGGGACATCCGTGGAGGCCACATGGTCAGACACACGGTCCATCTTCTGGCCACCCCACGTGTAGTTGTAAGTATTTCTTTCCTTTTAAAGG